ACTGGATAAAGACTATATTTAAGATGACCTTCTTTCTTAATAAACAGATTAAGGCCAAAATACTGCTTTAACACTTTTATTCAGCTTACACAGATAGGTAGTATTTACTATTTAAAGAAAAGCTCAGTCTTCTCTACAGGTGGTGCCAGGGGAGCACATTAGATGAAATATACTAGTGTAAATCATGCATTGCCATCACAATTTATAGCTATTGTGCTAGTTAGTATAGCTAAGGGGATGCTTTTAAGAGTTATCAGAGACATTATTTATGGTATATTTTATTAGAGCTCAGCCATAGCAATAGCCAGGTAGTATCCTTGCACCAGATGATTTAACATTTAACTAAGATCCCATCAGATACCCCTGGTATAGCTTCTACCATAAACCCTCTGTTAGAACCATCAGGTAAAACTCCAAGCATTACCATAGCCCAGTTAGTAGAAGTTAATAAACATGACAAAATCTAAGTAGAAGCTACATGATGGATCAAGCTCAAGAAGTGGGAATCCATTGCTGAGCTTAATACTGCCATTAAAAACAAAGAGTTCCAGCTGCGGCATCTTGATGATTACGATACAACAGATGTAGAAAGTTACTAGATGTATTCTCTTTGGCTATTTCAGACACTGGTGTCGATTTTCATCATGGTTATCTCTACCCTTTTAAAAACCAAGCCACAAAATGTGCCCTTTTTAGAAGATTGTCTTGCTTTTATAAAGGAGGCCTTGACAAATGCATAATCTTAGGACACCACTAAATCCCTAGAAGGTCTTGTTGCAACTAGCTGTAAACTAACTCTTATATTCTTATTTACCCTAAGACATAGAGAAAGCTATGCCAGAAGCAACCTAGAAAATGTAATTAAATACAAGAAAAACACACTGATGGGGCTGAATGCAGAAGAAGGAAACATGGATATTAATACACTCTTAGAACTAAGTAATCTGCTAGATAAACTCTATGAGGAAATAGGTACTAAGCAACCCCTTAATAAACTAATTTTCTCCCTAGAAAGGATCTATAACCTTAACATAGTTTCCATTGCTGATATTATTATGGCAAAAAATAACTATGCTTACTACCTATAGAAGTAATACCTGCTAATATTAAACCTCTCTAACCTTTCAGATACCTTAAAGCTAGCTAAGGAAACTCTGCCACTCTTTAAAGATAAGTAGATTAAGGGATCCCTTATGCACACTAATGCTCTAATAAATATAGTAAATATACTAGATCATCACTATAATCAGCTCAAGGATAGAGCAGACTTAGAAAGATTAATAGCCTATAAGTAAGAAGTATTAGCTATGACTAGCATTTCCCCCAGTGAGAGAGCAATCAAACTATTAAATCTAGCTTAAAAATATAAAATAAGGTACACATAATATAGAGTTCTAGCAGGTGTTAAGCTAGGAATATCTCTTATAATAGAGGCTCTCTATATCTAACAGCTTAGGTATAAAGCCTAGCAGATAATAATTAATACACTTTACAACCTCCTAAGTCTTCAAGCTAACTACTTAGAGTCATCTACTAAAGAATATAAAAGAATTATTCATCTCTAAAAGATCACAGTTGGACTCTCCTCAATAATATCTTATATAATTAATTACCACAGCCTTATTATTAATCTCATAAAGTAATACTATAAGTTCTTTAATAAGAAGGATCTCTATAATAGCATCTACTATAGCTTTAAGGCCTTATAGTGCTCCTTACTCTTTGACTACTATTAATCTATATACCTATCCTCTCTAGCAGCCCACTTTTAGTTACTTATAAAAATCTCCAAGAGAGCATCTAATTATAACATCATAATTAGTCTCTTTAAAGCTGCCCTTGCCTGTCCCCTAAAGTTAAATCTTATATATTTAGGGCTATCAATAACTCTATAATTACAGTGGTCTGAAGCCAGGACACTAGATAATAAGGACCTATACTTAGCACTAAAATCTCTAGAGTTTAGATTAGCCCAGTCACCTGCTCTAGTCAAGATTCAGATCCTATATGGAGTTTGTGCTGCTAAGCTTACCCTATAACTAGATAATGTAGATTAAGCAGTTGCATTATCTAGAGAGATTATTAGCTTCCTACTAACAGTGCATTATCCACTAACAGATTAAAGCAATATTAAATATACTCTCAAGTCTCTTCAGGGATTTAATACCATTACCACAGCAGCCATCTTAAAAGTAGGATATCCACCTACACAGGCTATTAAAAGTAATAAAGCTTCCTATAGAGTGATCACACACTTAATATTATTAGCATGGCCAGAATTAGGTATATCATCCACTAATAGACTAGATAACCTAACACTAACAGCATAAATATTTAACCTAATAGCTCCTAATCTAGTTAAAATCTCACACAGTGTCATCATCATTAACTTCGCGATTTCAGACTCTAAATACTTTGCTATTATCCTGTAAGATGGTAAGATCTGCTATATGGGACTCCCTGACCTATAATTAAGATATGTTAAGGAGGGAGGGAAGGACATAGCTAGTCCTAATTATATTAGTTTGCCCTGTGCAGGAAACACACAGGAGTAGAACCATTAACTATCATATTTACTATTATGGCTTTGGAGAGCAGTAGTTAAGCTACTCTTATTAGCTAAGGCCCTTCTTTAATAGAAGGAAGATATAGGTCCACTACCCAATGTATGTTAGATTTCTAGCAGCCTGATAGGGTTAATACCATTCCATGCTGCCAGGGATGACAACCTCAGATCTATAGAGAATATAATGGACCATGTCATGTCATTATATATACCTAGTCTTTAAATTCTATAATATGCTCAAGCACAACAGCATTAGCTGTGACAACTTAAACAGCCATAAACTTTATTCATAGGAGCAGCTAAGGTTGTTAGATATAATAATCTGTCAGCCTTGGTGAGTGCTGATCAACAAGTACTCTAGGAATATTACCCCAGTATAGATGTCCTCCTATCTCTATCCATAGAAGAGGCTCTAGCGAACATGCAGCTAGCAAATATCTGCTATTACACCTATCATGGTGAAATAGACCTAAAAGATCCCTTAAACAGGCAATTAATCCTCAGCTCAGATCCAGCAGATTTCTTAATAATCAAGACATTAAGCAGCCATTATCTCACTAATATACATTTAATTTATCTTGCTGCCTGCTCAACAGTAGAAAATAGGGCTGAAGAGCTGCTCACAGAGGTGGTGCATCTAGCCAGCACCTTCTAACTGGTCAGTGTTCCCCATGTCATTGCCACTTTATAGCCGTCACTAGCAATGTCCTCATCACCTGTTGTGAAACTATTCTATAGCCATCTCACACATCTTAAAGCTTCTGGTCTCGATGCGATCAGACTTACACTGCATCAGTCAGTCACTAAGTTGCGGAGGGATTGGCGCAATGATCCTCTAGCCTGGGCCCTGTTCGTTCACTTTGGTCCAGACTGCCAGTAGAGTTTCATGGATGGAGTGTTCAATGTGATAGCTTTTGAGACCACTGAAGCTTCTGTGCTGGGCAACATATTTCATGATAGCAACCTCATCTTCGACTTTTTCGTTGCGAGCGATTACCCGGCAAAGGGCAGTGAAGCGAACAAGGGCGCGATGTCCATTTTCATAAGTGACTCTGTAACATATATTAAAAGCGTATAGGCGGTCCGCAGCATGCACTTAGAGCCGGGTATTGGGCTGCTTGGGCGAGGGTGATTGCTTGACGTAGTTCCACGATGAAGAACACGAGCAGTGTTGTGCCTGTCCTATTACCTGGGTACGGTTATACTAGAGGTGATGGATTGATGAAAGGTTGGTAGAAGAAGGATTAAACAATGAAAATACCGGTATGTTAGTATTGCCGCTCACGATGATGGTGGAGACAGCTGAATCAGGTGTACGCAAGGTACAAACAGTGTGAGGCACCTTAACAAGGTCTGTCATCGGGGTTCAGAGTCTCAATTTCCTCGTCGTTCTTTCCTGCATTCTCAGCGGCCCGACCAGCGGAATACACATTCTTGCCTTGATACCCAGTTAAGGAAGAAGAGCTATTTCGAGGAGAGGACAATAACGACGGGGAGCTGGACTCGGCGTTCACGCCCTGTGGGCCGCTCGAAAACAATGGGCGTCGCCTGAGGATTCGAAGAGTAGCCAGCTAGTCATTCAATAAGGGGTTACGTATGCCTGGAGGAAGGGATACAAGCAGAGAAGCATATTGTCTTCACTTGTGAGCTGTGAGCTGATGTCCACGGCGGGTACCCGTTCCACTGCTTTTGTCCAATACAGTGGACCTGTGGTAGCACGGCGGCACTAAGCTCTCTTAGGGTTCCGCAGCATGTCCCCACCCAATAATGACGTTGGTGAGCTCTTAGGCTAACTTCTGCGTCCTCGAATTTGACACACATGCTACTCGACGTGACATCTTGAGTGGCATCTTGAGTGGCTTGACGGTTGAATATTTTGAGCGCGCGCCTAGAACTTGAGCTGCGCTTTACACCGAGAAACATCCAGCAAACCTCCCTCGCCTTTTTTTTTAAGCATACAGGCCTTACGAGACAGTCGTAAACCTGTCGCTTGCGTTAGTAACGCGTGGACTTTCGCAGGTGAACGGGGTTGTCTCGGGAAATGCGTTGGCGTCGGCACAAAGGACATATCCGATCGTCGCCGCACCATGGCGACACTGACAACTTACGTCCACGTGAGCCATAATGCTGTGCAAATAAGGTGTCTGGGCGGAAGCTTCATCGATCATGTCAACACTGAAACTGCTCGTCATTTCGCAGTCGCTATCAGACCCTTGGGCCATATCTGAATGAATCACCGCTGAGCAGTACTCCTTATGATAACAGTGAAAAATCCATACGTACTTTTGTTTAACAGAGAGCTAGGTTGACATAATGTTCTCTGCCACGGGACTGCTAAACACCCCAATTCGATGGCCTGAAGGAAACACGGGCAAATAATATAGGGAGTAGTTCTAATTTACGTACCAAGGTCACATACTGACACATTGGAACATCAGTTCCCCTTATGCTTGAGATGAGTGCTCCAATACACTTGAATAGAGCCCTGAGTCCTCCCTGAGTATTTCTCCGAGAACAGTTTCACCACATCTGACCAAGGCAGCCCCTGTTCCCTTCGTAGCTTCACTAGGAGGTCCTCCTCCTCTGCTAGCCATGGCATGCCTTTCCTGGAGCTCAGATGGGGCATATTGCTGCTATCAAGAGTAGGTGCACGCTCGAAAGACTTTGTCAAGCGAGGAGATGATTGCAAGCCACCGCCTTCCTTTTCCACTGTAGGTAGCGCAACATCAGTGGTTCGCTTGAGATCGGACATGGACTGTGACAGTGCACCCTTGAATAACCAAGAAAGAAATTGTAAACGTTCCGTGACTGGTGAGGCTGAAAAGTGACTGGACAGGGTGCTAAAGGCACCTTCCTTCTTACAAAGCACTGTGGTAGCTTGAAGGCGTTTGTGCGGGCCGTGATATGAATGCAGTGTCCTGGAACAGCTTCGCTTGCATGCTTTAGAATTTTTTGACTGACCCTCATGGGAACTCTGTACAGGACCGTTGTAAGACAGGATATCGGGCCGGCAAGCCTGGCGGGTAGGACGCACTTTTTAACTGCGCTCATGACGATGGGCATTATTAAAGGAATAGTCTTTTGCTTCTGGGAAAGCAGGCCGTTCATTGGATTCTAATTGATGCTTGGGTAGGTTTTGTATGACGACCTGAGGTTCGGGATATGGGTAAGTCGTGCCTTCGCCATCAAGACTGTAATTGCCAATATGATTGATAATTAGCAGTTATTCGATAGTTTCCAAAAGCCCCTCGTCATCCAAAATAAGTGGATCAATCGGGATGGTACTCTTTTTGACTATAGGTCTGGAGGCATCTCCTTCTAAAATTCCCACTGTGCCTAAAGTTGTACGGTACGCTCGCAACATTAGCCTGACAAGAAAGTGGACTTGAGGGGAATCTTGATAACAGCATTACCTAGGTTAATTAGGGAATCTGGGCCATAATGCGAAGTTGGAGAAGCACAGCGCTTCTGATCTTGAGTATGTCCTGCGTGGTCATGAGAACGATCCGCATGCGATGTGTAGGCTACTGGGACTGATCCATCCCTTGTCTGAGGGCCTTTGCTTGCTGGGGTATAAGGTCGGACATTTGTTTGCAAACATGCCTCAGTGGGTGGCCTTGCAGGGAGGGGATGCTGCAGTTGTGTTTGTGTAAGGGGTACAAGAGGGGATTTTGACAAGGCAGCATCCCGAGGGTCCTCTGGGGAATAGGGATGGCTAGTAGCAAAATTTGGAATAGGAGGTTGAGGTGAACTTGGGAAAGAGCCAGATGGGAATGGTTTGGTACAAGGGGGATTCCATGGTCTAAAGGTGTTGACATAGAAAGTAGCATTAGACATTTTGATCTAAGTGGTACGCAGATGGGTATGTTGTGCTGAAAGGGAAGGAGCGAAGGGAGACAGTTTTGTTGAGTTGCGAAAACTGGGGTGACTATGGTTACTGTTCAGATGTCCCGATCGGCCTCCTTTTATCATCAACTAGGTCAGTTCACGGTAGCTTCCGTTTCTAACCTTACACCGTGAGGCAAGAAACCAACCACAAAACCCCTTCCGTCCTGTTGCCCCAGCCCCCACCCTGACGTATCCAACTCAAAGAGAAAAAGAGCGATGGAATAACAGTTGTCCCCAACGCTGCTACGTACCGAGGAGTGTCCCAGCTAAATCCCAGTGCGCAGATTCCACGGCTGCTCCACGAAACCAATAATGTAGCATGCGAGGGCGCTTTGTGGAGACTGATGCAGCGAGAAGCAGAATTGATTACAGTGCGCTATTTTTGCCATTGGCTGATAAAGATGGCAATGAGCCAGAATGAAAGGGCCGCGGAGGCCAAAGGATCATCAGGTGGATAGTATGTTGGACAGATGGCATCATCTAGTCTAATATGGAAATGGATGGCACCTCCGGGGCCAAGCTCGTTGAGAATTTATTGTGGGGCATTTGCACCGCACAGTATGCTGGGGGTGATTAACTGAAGGGCACGACAAGAACAGACTCTATGTCCTTAAATCCATCTAGAATCGCTATTCTCCATGAGCAGTCCCAAGTGTAACCAGGTATGTAGCTGGACCGTCCTCAAAAGCCCTAAAAAGTAAAGATTCTAGCGGAAGCACGAGGAAACGGCTGAAAACTGCTGTCATTCAAAGAGCTAAAGCTGTAGTGGGCTCACGGGTTTGAGACATGTAAAGGAAAAGACACAACCTCGCATGAAGATGGACGACCCATAATTGGCGATGCTGTACGGCAGCAAGAGGGTTGCCTTAAAGGGCGCAGAAACAATGCCAGCGGGTTATCGCGCTTTACCGCAACAAGGTAGTGCTTGGATAACGCGGCATCGCTGGGAGGGGTCATTGCATGAGGTTCAGCGACGGGAGGGAGAAATAGAGAAGAGGAAGTATGTCGCCCTTGGAGGGAGGACTGTCCGGCTTATGTAGAAGTGTAGAGGAGTTGAAGTGGCCGTGTGCATGGGCAAAAGCAGCGTGAGATGGGTGGGAAAGGGCGCTATTCTTGATGAGGTAGTCCCTATACCGTGACGGGTAATGGGATGGCCGTGGGCCGCAGGCGGTGGACAGCGGCAGACAGGCCGTGCAATGGGAGCCATTTTCGGCGGTCCGCTTGCCGTCTGTTAGAATACTAAGGGAGAAGAATGGAAGATAGCTTTCAGAATAAAGTTTAGTCACTTTAAATACTTAGTTATACTATTTAGATTAACTAATATATTAGCATTATTTTAAAGATTCATTAATGAAGTACTATAAGAATACTTACACCTCTTTATTATTATATACTTAGATGATATCTTAATCTTCTCTAAAGGAAAAGAAGAACATATAGAACATGTTAATAAAGTTTTAGAAAAACTTTAGGAGGCTAAACTAAAGCTAAAACTAAAGAAATATAAATTTTATATCTAAGAGACTAAGTTCTTAGGGCATTAGATATCCACAGAAGGAATCTATATGGATATTAATAAGGTGAAGGTAATTATTAAATAGCCTTAACTAAGAAATGTTAAAGAAACTCAATAGTTCATTAGACTTATTAACTATTACTAATAATTTATTAAAGGATATATAGGAATTATGCACCCACTCTTTAGACTACTTCAAAAGGTAAAGGAATTTAAGTAGAACTAAGAGTATGAGGAAGCTTTTAATAAGGTAAAAAAGTAAATTATTAAAATTAAAGCACTAATCCTAGTATAATATAACCCAGAAAAGGAAATAATAATTAAAACTAATGCATTAGATTATGCAATCAGGATGAGAATAACTTAACTAGGAGATAATAGAAAACTATAACTAGTTATATTCTATTTAAGGAAATTAATCTAAGTAGAACTTAACTATAACATCCATGACAAAGAACTACTAGCTATAGTAGTAGTATTTAAAGTCTAGAGAGTCTATCTGGAAGGAGTAAGATATACTATTATTATAAAAACAGACTATAAGAACCTCACATTCTTTATAACTATAAAGGAACTTATAAGGAGACAAGCCAGATAGGCTAAAACCCTTTTATAGTATAACTTTAAGATCATATACTGCAAAGGAACTAAGAATGAATAAGCTAATATACTTAGTTAATAACTAGATTATAAGCTCTAAGGGAAAATAATTAAATCTATAATCTTAAAATAATAGGAGGATAGGTTATTAATATATAATTATTACACTCTCACAGTAACCATCAAGCTGTAAGAAGACCTACTTATCTAGAAAATTATTAAAGTAATAAAGAAAGATAAAATTATTTAAAAAACACTTAAGAATTTAGTAGATAATAAACACCTCACTATAGATGACAGAGGAATAATATATTTCTAAGGACTTATCTATATACCTAAGTGTATAAGAACTAAGATCATTATAAAGTATTACAATGACCCTATATATAGTTATATAGAAATAGAAAAAACAGCTAAAGCCATCTTAAGGAACTACTACTTTCTAAATATAAGATGGAAGGTATAAGGCTATATTTACTAGTGTAAAACTTATATTAGAGATAAGTGTCACTACCCTGGGATCCGTCTCTGCTGTTCCTGCTAGTCACTGCTTTGGAGATGATATAGTCCCTGGACTATATCCGATACTTGCCTAAGGCCTACCGACCAGGTAGCCTAATGATATACCGATAGGGTACGGGTCTGCACAGTGGTACAATGATC